TTGCCCAGCACTATAATAGTTGTGCTCTTGATTTTCTTTTCGTACATTAGTCTTCTAAATTATTAACGGTGAGACATTTTATTGTATGCACGATGAATTACTCATGATGGCCAATCACATGTATTTTTTTGTGATCTTCTGTTGTAAATCAAACATCGCTGAGAAAAAATAATTATATTTCGCTGTTTTTTAAGTTATATTGTTTTGTTTTACTGATATTTGCTTGTATTTATTTACTCAATGGGGAACTTACTTTTCGAGAATGATTTGTAGAAAACAAGATGTCTTAATCTGAAGTAATCACAGCAATATTATGCTGCTATTAGGCTTGTGTTTTTCTTATATTATGGAGTGAGTTTACAGATCAGTGCCTGACATTCTTTTACTGTGTTGGTCAGCTTCAGGTAGGTTTCTTTAGTAAAATCCTGACTTGCACTTTGTGATGTAAAGTCATGGGAACAGGAATGGGGGTTTTGTGTTACTTATATTTTCTTTCCATTCCTGCAATAAAACCACGACGTTCAATGTCCGTGTTATGTATCCATTTTTTATAAACTTGAAGATTTTCCGGTTTTCTACTTTCATAAGACGACTTATAATCAGTAGTACTTCAGCTCTAATTAATAGTAGGTGTAGAAATGATATAAGGAATATTGTGAAGCTGGGGATATGAAATGTCTGGTTTATCTTGGTGTATGTGAACGAAGTAAATGATAGAGGGGATATTCCCTGAAGTTGACTGTAGGAAGAGTAAGTTAATGTGATGGAAACCTCTATGCTTTATAAGCTCACTTGTGTTAACATATGTAGGGACCAGGTGAAGAGATAGGCACAGATCAATCGGTGGGCACATTGTGAGTGAACTTGTACCTTGTAGTCGCGTACTTGGCTGAGAGTTCAGATTCCGTTGCCAAAGGTTCTTTATTTAATGTCACGAATTGTATGCTTTTGGAACCTGACATCCTGTTCACCCGTCTACTTTTTTACGTCAATTTTGAGTAATGCCGCTCGTCAGAAGAGCTGTCACAGCAGTCAATCTGAGAGACGAAATGTATGGAACCGTCGATTCATTCGTGCTTATCCACTTTACTGCATCAGAAATATATTTTAGATACCACGCTGCTTCATGAAAGTAGCCAATCACATGAACGATTTTCATATATCTCACTGCTCAGGTTTTTGTTAACACAAGGAAGCAAAGAATGGAAATATGCTAATCACTTCCGAAGTTCTGAATATTTGCTGCTCTTGGCATCCGGAGTGTGAACATTTACGTCATTATTGACATGAAGTGGTAGAAAAATTGCCTAGATAACATGCGATTTCGTGCTAGTACAGTTTGGATGCAGCCTTGTAGATACGAAATATAGACCCTCTAAATAATCTGCACGGTCTTATTAGTCAGTAATTTCTTCTCTATACGACAGATGTTGCTTCCTGAATGTTTTGCATACCAAAGAGGTAAAAGTTGCATTTCATCTTCGAACTTGAAAATTTACCCTCCAAGCATACACCTGAAAATTTGTTCTAGACCGGTGTCATTTCTCTTGACAGTGAGATTGACATTGATTGCTTTCCTGAGAAGGTATCCTACTTATCAAAGGATATTTCAGTGCAATGCACTGGTTCAGCTGTCCCGAAATCATTTTATTGTTCCAGTTGTGAAATATTGAACCCTTTATCATGTTCAACACAAGCTGGCAAATGTCAGATAAAGGGAAAGGCCTTTTGTTAAGAAACGTATACTGTTGCAGTATACAAAATGTTCTCAAAGCAACCTATATTTCAGTATGTACTTAACAGACATCATATGATCAAGAAGTAATAACTGCAACTCAGTTTCATCTTGCGCAACAAATATTGACTGCTATTGCCAATTTCCATATTCATAAAACCAAATTTTTATTAAATGTAGCTATAACAATAAAACTTTCAATACAAGGATGAGACCAGTGCTATGAAAATGAATCAAAACAGCAGAATTCCACTGCTCTAATATATTTCGTAGACAAATTAATTTCCTAAAACATTTTTTGACATATTAAAAGTTGAATGTTAACAGTTCAATACTTGTCAATTTGAACAGTAACAGACTTAATCACTTCCAATAATAATTAGGAAGACTGTAACTCAAATTTCAGTTTACAGTGAAGTGCTCATGAAATGCATTCTTCCAATCTACTTATTGAGTTGACTTCATAATATATTACATAATCTTTTCTACCTTAATATCACTAACCAAATAATACAGCTCGTCAAATGTGTTGAGCTCGATAAATACAACCTATAATTGTAAGCAAACTTACCAATACCGCAGTCAGTAATCAAAATTGAAAAATGTTACCTAAGAATCATTCTCACGATATCGAATAGTCGACCAACACTGATTGAGCAACAACAAAAAATTAAGGTAAACTCTTCCAAAATTCGGGATTTTGCTGTAACCGCTGTGAAAAATTAGAATACCAGTTTTGTATCGCAGATGTAGGGATAAAATCAACTTGTTCTCTGGGGTTTTCTATTCGTGGCATGCGGACAGCAAATGATAACACGTGATTTACAAAGTTTTGGACCATTTTTTCCAAGAACTCTAACAGAGTGGACTGCAAATGCAAGAAAAGTACAAAATGAAAAACGATTGTGAGAGAATAATGGATATATTGCAATGAAATTATGTTTTCGCACTGTTCTCTGCACATAAATCAAAAAAAAATTTTTCACATCAAAACATCCAAAAGTGTCTTTGAATAATTCACAATAACTGTCACACCCTACATTTTCTTCACCAAATTCGGATTACGACAGATAATTAAGTTGTCAAAAAATTTTGCAAATATGATTCTTGAGGTCAACCCATTACCATCCAAAAAACGCATTCAACCAAATTTAAATAGTTCATACCTGCTGACTGACTGCCGTCTCTTCACTTGGATTTTTACTGATAATATTTGCAATTGGTTCTACACTGACACCAATGTGGGCATTACCGAGCTTTTTATTCGTGTCTGATCTGGCCATTGATGTAAACAGACCAGTGTGCATAACATCCTTTTTGCGAAGCTAAATTTACATATTTTTGATCGGAACAACTACATTTCCACTTAAATATAAAATTTTTATACCGTCATAAACCGTTTGTGATCAAATTTAGTTATTTGAATTTGTACTTGGGAAACTCGAAATATTGCACTCGGTTTGTCGTTCGAAATGTAACCAAGATAATACCAATTCATTTCCACCCCACTTTTCTGCCAGCATATATAAACTGAAATTCATCAATGAACAAGTTGGCAACCCCAACATAAATATATTAGGAAAAGATTTTTGACAATTTCTTCAACTGAAGCACTTTATGATCAAGATCCATGAATACAGCTATTAAGATTAATCGAATCACTCACATGATAAAACACTTTGTTCAGAGTATAGATACAATAAACCGAATGCTATAACATACCAGAACCACCCATTCCTTCAGGGAATGGCAAAACGCCTGTTAAGAACACCACAATATGATTTACTACATCTGGGTTGTCTACCTCAACAACGAATTCCTTGTCGCTCATTTGGATGAAATTAGTTTGAATCTTCAAAAAAATTTAATGAAATAATATCAGCACCATCATAGAGATTTTCAATGAACAATATCATATCCAGAAGATGTAAAGTTGTTCGTTTTGCACCAAATTCAAGCAAATATTTTAACAATTGTTGGATCGTATTGATTCATTACTACAGCAGTTCATTATTTGCATAGATCTTATTCCACTAAGTGTGAGAATGAATAATTTTTGAATGATTATAGCTATTTATTAACAACCCCTCAATTACTACTTGATGCAACACAAATGAAACCTTTTAAAACGAACCTAATCAAAAGCAATAAATCTTCAAATAGTCTATACTTACTGCGCGACCTGCTACAATCACTCCGAAAATTTTCAGCTGCTCACATGCCATTTCCTGAAGATCAACTTAAGACTTCAACGATTGAGGATTACAAAAAACAACAATGCATCACAATTAGCATTCAAATGCAGAAAACAATTTTTCACTATGAACCGTTGGCGAAAAATCGTTTTAAGACCTCTTTGAATTTACTGTAGGAATATGGTCAAATAAATTGAATGAAAGAGTAATTGTTCTGTACGAACAGAAATATTGATTGCTTGGACATGTACTTTCTATAAACGAGAATTAAGAAAGTGAATGCATTGGATGATGCATTCACGTACATATTAATGAAGAATTCACATTTCCTGATAACAAATTTTAACATTTTTTAAAATGTATTTCATTTTGAAATGAAGTTGAATCAGTTTTGCACAAGCACAACATCTGTGAAGAAAGTAATTGCTGTTACAATTGTAGCAGTGAGATTCAGTTGCTAGTTTTATGCGTGTACCGCTTGTGAAAAGTTCTTGCTCCAATTCACCAACGAATTTAACATTCATAATTGTTCTATGTGGTGGATATTTTTGTAAGATACGTAATTATGAGTTCTGCTCTAAAAGTTTAAAAAAATTTTCTTCATCCCTTCAAAAATCATTCAAAAGGTCAAAAAGATCTCTTTTTTTATAATAGAATACGAGGAAAGAAAGCCATCACATTATTTTTGTTTAATTCAATAACATTTAGCTGTAAAATTTTGTGAGACGCGGACGCGAGAATACTAATCACTTGTTAAATCACAGATAAATTTAATCAGCAAAGAGATTTAAACTAAAAATGAAAATAGCTAAATGAAAATAGCGTTTCATGATGTGAAATTATTTTAAAAATTCATTGACAATAAGATAAACTATAAAGATAATCAGATCTTTCTTACTTTTTGTAATCGCAAGGAAATAATTCAATGTTCTTGCCGTGCAATCCCTTTGCTGATTAAATTTAAAATTATGATAACCATCGATCATTATCAGATAACCAAAACTCTACTCATTTTTATACAAGTGAATGGTTTTGCAAAAACTTAGCTATGCTTTTACGATTCATTAATACAGTGGCATCAAAGTGCAAAGTTCATTGAGAGAAGTAAATTTTTTGGTGAAATTTTTTGAAAAAATTATGAATATCTTTTATGCATTCACGTATTGGTCACGTAAATTAGGATTAGTCTGCGAAATAGTAATAATTGTATTCTACTTGAGTTAATTATTATGTAAAGTTTGTATATTTACTGAAATGCAGAAGAAATGACAAATTGTTAACCAAATATCATGATTTTTGAATGTCTTTATTTTAAGTGCTTTTTGCTATTATACTGTTCTTTGCTAGTTTTTTAGAAAAAAAAAATATTTCTGTACGTTTGAAATACTTTTCCACTATTTATTTTCAAATACTACTCCCATCAGAGAGAGATACTCTTTTGAAGTTTCATCAAATTGAGCTTGGAAGTTCAGTTTAAGAATAAAAAGGTAATTCTGTTGGTACTTTTATCAGAAATGCAACATTTTAGTTACCCTCAACAAAATAACTTTTCTCTCAGTTTCGTATATTGTTTCTGCTTTTTTCAGAACTCTTAAAATTATTTGAATTATTTGTGACATCAAATGTAAAAAATGAACTGTAGTCTGATTCTAGAAATTTATATTTTCACTTTGGTGCTTTGTATTTTAAAAATACATGTTTAGCTTCAAGTCTTTATTTCATTCTGGAAATACTAGATCAAAAAATTATGACATTATAATGCGATATAGTACTCCTGTTCCATATCAGTTCTTTGCACAAGAATTGGAACCATTACACACTACTGTGTGAAGCGACTGATGAATACAGCAGAACGTGGTGGACAAGGACAGTAAGCTGCATCATTCCCTGGAAGACCGGGACCGCCTGGTGCTCCAGGCTTGCCGTCTTCACCAGCAACACCATCTTTTCCTGGTGAACCAGCCGGTCCTGCAGGGCCTGGTTGTCCATCAGCTCCTTTTTCGCCATTCGGACCCGCGCGACCGGGTGGTCCGGGTGGGCCAGGTGGTCCCTGAGGTCCTGGTGCACCTTTGCCTTTTTCTCCATCTTTGCCGGGTGGTCCAGCTTCACCAGGCGGTCCTGCTGGTCCTGGTTCACCCGCGTCACCAACTGCTCCTGGCGGTCCTGGTTGACCTTGACCACCTGACGGTCCTGGTAGTCCGGGTGGGCCATCGGGTCCTGCTGGTCCTGGTTCGCCATCTGATCCTGGAGGTCCAGGAGGACCTGCTGGACATTTAATGCATGAAGTGTCTGCAGGAGGACATGTGATTGGTGCATACGTTGCTAAATTGTCGGATCCAGCGGGTCCAGGAAGGCCAGGTGCTGCAAAAAAAACTATCATAGTTTTCAAACTTTCAAAATTTTATCTGCGAGGAAATTAACTGAATCTTCAAGAACATAAAATTGAGGGTTGGAATGAAGTTGATGAACTTTTAGCAATTTACAGAATGGTTTAAAAAATTAACATACGTCCATCTTCTCCAGGCTGACCAGGAGGTCCAGGTGGTCCTGGTGGGCAGGTAATTTTGACCGGTTCACAGTGGCAATAATCTGGTAAACCAGAGAAATCCTGCCGCTTTTTGCGGAAGATACTTCTGAAAGGATTTTCACGTGGTTTACTTGGGGGTGTCACGCTTATCTGGACGTCCATTAGTTCGCTCCATGCCGAATCAGTTTCAACACGAAATACTTGCACACCATCTAATACCGAATCATGGACCTACAAAAATTTTTTATTTATTAATTACTTCTTTCCTAAAAAATGCGGTTTAAAAACTGTTGAACTTCACGGATACTATAAAAATAATATGCTTGCTAATAAAACTTTTCAAATGTCTTTTTTTTTTTTAAATTGCAATTTACGATAAAACTTCAAATCCGACTATCATGTTTGTAACTTTTTTAGCATAATGATTAAAATTTTGATACTTATAAAAATTAGAGGCAACTTTCAATAAGTAAAATACTAATTAATTTTCTATTGGATTTAGTTTTTTAATAATGGTCTAATTTGACTGTTGTAAAAATGAAATAATAAAGTAATTAAATTAGTTGCGACGAATATTGTATTGTAAACAAAGTATACTAAAAATATACTGTAAATTAAAAGTATTGCAAAGCTTAGTTTTAATTTGTGACAAATGAAAATAGTCACCAAAGAGAAAGACTACAAATCAGCTAATAATTGCCTTTATCCCTTGGTTGCCATTTGATGAAATAAATAGGAAATTCCGGCAAATAAAGGCATATAAAATGAAAATTTATGTCTTTTAATTGCCTTCATGAAAGTAAGTTAGTAGTAAAACCTGAAGTGCTAGAGAATAAATTTTTGTAAGTTATTTCTGTTCCAAAAAAACAGTATTTTAACAAAAAAATTATGACTAACATTAAAGTATTACTTAATCGAGTAGACAATAGAAAATACGATTATAAAACACACTGGAACAATGGAAGAGGAAAAATTTTTCAGTGTAGTGCATGGAGAAAAAAGGCACAAATCACCTCGTTGATTGTGTTGTAAAGCGATGGTATCACTATAACGCATGATAAGATAGCCATGGTACTGCATGTTGCAGCAACCAATGCGATGATTTTTGCTTCATGCATGACGGAATTTGAAGCTTACTGCAATCTGTAGAAAAGTTTTCAAGTCGCGATAAATTGTGTGTGATACTTTGCATTTGAAATTACTTCATTTTTATAGGCATTTTTCTTTCACTTTCTAGTTTTGATTTCAAGGTCCTCCCAATTTTTGTCACAATTTCAATCAAAAATACCTCCTCCGAAAAAAGAATTTTTTCTTAATGTCTTTTCATCTCTCATTACTACGCTGGTTCTTCGTCCTTTATTATCTTTTTTTTTCTTGGTCAACTTACAGACTGAGAAATGTAATGATCCGTTTGGAAAACCGGTTAATAAATTGTTGGATTCCATCCATCTACTTTTATTTGATAATTTGTCGTGTCATTTTGTTTGTTGACGATGAATATATCATCTGAAGGAAATAAAAATTATAATAAGTAAATGCCAAAGTTTGCTTTGTTCTGGAAAATTGCAGAAATAAAAAATAAAAAATGTTCTGGTAGATCAGCACTGAAATGATTCATTTGATGGCTAAACAACACATACACACACCACAATGTGCACATTATTTTTCACTGATTTTTTTCAAAAATTTTTCTAGTTTTTTGTCTTTGTTTTTGAAAGAATCTTCAAGCATTAATAATTTATTAAAGTAGAGAAACTGATTAATTTTTACTTGGCATTTATCAATTGCATACTTAATATAATATTGAAGAGAGAGAAAGTAAAAATCATTTTGAAAGGAATTAAAAGCGTAACAGAGGAACAAATTGGAAATGATAAATACATTTAGATTCTTTGACAACTTGCTGAAAGCGATGCTGATCATTTCTAGATTCATTACTGATAACCACTTTGGTTGTAAGCATTTACAAGAGTTGTTATCATCATTATCTCCATGGTTCAGCTTTACCGCCACAAGGTAGCCAATAATTTCACCTGTGAAAAATTACATAATTAAAAGTCGCTGTTTCTTGATGTCAGTGAATATATTCTTAATCTAAACACTGCATCCTCTCATAAAAATATTGTTCATTTTATTAACAGTATGTAAATTAAATCTCTTAAATTTGCATCTGTTTCAATTTTTGTATTTTTCTTAAGCTTGTAAATTTGCAACCACAGTCTGCTGCTAAAATGATTAAAAATGATAAATCTTTAAATAGCTTAAACTCAGAGTGAAAAAATAATTTAAAGGATAGTTTTAAAATAGCTTAGCAATAATTTTAAGGATAGTGATTTTATTTTTTATCACATAACATTATTGCCCGAATTCCTGATTCTTGGCGGTTTAAAAAAACAGCTGAAATTGAAAACGCGGATTAAATTTTATGCCCATGGGTCATTTCAACTTTTTCCAAGGGAAAGTTTTTCACTCAGCAAAATAATTGTCGAGTAATTAACGAAATACACATTCCCTAATTCATTTCTCCTTCTCATAGAAAGAGAGAAACATCTGTAAAATTCAAGGAAAAAGGAAATGATACCTCAATAAAACTAGTTCACATTTAAATTTTCATTAACAGATCATTTATTTGTATATCTTTGGCCAATTTATCGGGATTTCTCTTTTTACTAAAAACATTTGCTGTGATTTTACTTCAGGTTTTCAATCTGTAAACTTGTGAGGTTAAGTATGCAGACTTTTCAATCTGATAGATGGTATTCGTCATTACTCCAAAAATTTGATAAGGCTAAAAATCACACTCATTTGCGTCTTAAATTCTGTGGATTGCTTTCTTTATCTTATCACAAGTAAGCTTTAGTCATTGCTCTGTGATCAAAAGTTACAGTGTAAATTTTGATTACTTCTGCATTTAAAGAGTAACTGGTTAACCAAGAAGACAAAAATATAAATAAAGGATCAAAATTTGGAAATCATTTGTATTTCTAATTTGAAAAACTAGCATTAAAAATTTTATGCCGAGGAATATTCTCTTACAGTCATACAACATAATTAACTATACTGTACTAAAACTGATGATTCAATCATTACACTACCTATAATTTAATTATTTTTATTATTTAAGTTAAAAAAAAAAGTTATGTTCTTCACATTATTTAAGAAGAAATCTCAAAAAGTATTTAATTTACAGATCGGTAATTACTTTGTTTAAAGTGTGAAGTTATAAAAATGACTTATACTGCATTATTCTATAAACTATTTTATGGACCTGACTAGTAAAGACTACTTGGTTTTGATCGCAAACTTTGCAAGGCATACAGCGAAAAATATGACATTGATTAATTAATTAAATAAATATTTGTGATTGAATACTTCAGCAAGCTCACTCTTTTCAATTTTGAACTTTTTCAGATTTACTGAGAGCGCATTAGTTATTTTTCCTATAGGAATTAGTTTCTGTGCATTTCTTAGCAATAACTGTAGTAGTTAAGAATCTCTTACACATGAATAGTAACTGATTAATGACATTATTGAGTCAACTTTCACCAATAAATTGTATTCTTTTTCGATGTAATTTTATTCTGATTTTCTTTAACGCTTACATTGGATAAAATTTTGGTTCAGTCCAAACTAATGAATTTGAAACATTTATTTACAGCTTCTTTTTTATTACTAATTAATTTTTTCCTTCAATCATAAATATCAAAAATATTCTCCGTTTGTTTTTGGAATCTCCAAGCAAGATGAAAAATAGGAACATTGTACTATATTTGATATTTATATAACGCTTTAAGGAAAACCAGTCGATGAATTGTACCTATCATTATGCATATTTGCATATTCTGATGCAGCTTTTTTGTCCGCAACTTCGTCAAATTCAGAATTTACTCACTTCACTATAATTTTATTAGCTACAATTGCAAATGAGTTGCACTTCATAACCTTATTTAAACTCAGGGTAAATCTTTTTGAACAAAATGATCAGAACATACTGAACAACAGCAATAAACACTTTCTTGTGTTTATTCCAATAGCAAAGGCTTTTCGATCAATTTCTTACTCTGTGTAAAAGTAAAAAATAAGTATATTTTTCAAACGCACTAATTTGATCACTTCTTGAAATTGAGATCTTCCAAAGTTGAGTTGAAAAATTTTTATACATTTTTTCGTCCGTTCATTTGAAAAAATAAAAAATAATTTTACTATGATCAATAATTTGTTCAAAGTCGATTCTTCATGGAATAAAATTTTCACTTTGAAGCAAATAATTTTACGTATTGAGTAAAAATATTAGATAATTGGAAGAAACAGTTGCAAGTTTAATATTTTAGTCAAATGTTTTAGCGCCAATTTCTTATATAATTTAAAAAAAATTATTGGCATTCTTGCTTCACCTCATAAGTGACTTATAAACTGATGACCTTGTGACTCATATTTATTCTGATCCAATAACTTTGGCGATACTTTCATACTCAATTTTATCTTACAACTCCTTCTTTTTATTTATGATAGTGAAAAAACAGAATGAGAAGATGAAATTTGTGGTTTTCTGGTTGTAATTTGACTTTCACTTATGTGCAGCTGATTAGAAAGGAAATGTGCCCGTGAAATGTATGAATAGTTGTAAGTGACAAATTCTAAGGCATTGTGTCGACTGTAAAAAACATCAGATCTCATAGTTTTGTATGGAAGAAGACATTTTTTTGTTCACAAAAATTGAAGAGTGCGAAAGATAGACTAGAAAAACTCAGTTATAAAAATTTTCAGGTATTCTTTGCAGAAATATTGGTTATTTCATTCAATTTTCTGGATAAAAAATATATTCGCTTGCACAATTCAATTTTGCCTCTTATTTTTGTTTCTGATTATCTGCCAGGCTATCTATCTATCTATCAGTATTCAAAAATTACTTCACTTTAATCAGTGGCACTGTTTTGCTATTATCTGAAGCCAGCTGAATGTGATTTTAAATTTTAAAAAACTGATATTTTGCAATTAAAACGAAGATATGATTTATTTTTAACAACTTTTTTAAATCTGATTATTAAGGTATTCCTAGATAAAAATTTTTAGTCCTATCTTCCTATTTCATACAAAAGAATAAAAACTATAAAGAAAACAAATTATAAAGACTAGTCAAGTCATAGAATAAAATGACAATATTATTATTTGTATCATAACTATTAATTGTATTGCTTATCTTTATCATTATTATTATTATTACTATTATAATTATTGTTATTATTATTTAGATCAATAACACTTCAAAGAAATGCTATTATTGCCTTTTATTGATCTCAAGAAAGTGTAAAGAGTTGAGGGTTTTCTGCATTAAGTTTTGGTTACTTGATTCAAACAAGAAAGTGAGATGAATTTGTTTTTATTTAATTAAAATTTTTAATTAAATACAGAAAAATCTGTTTTTTTATATTTATTTTGATCTGATTTTGTTGTTTCAATAAAATCAAGATGTAATTGTGATAAATGATGCATCATGCGCTCATCTCACAGAATCTATATGACATCTATATGACATATGTGAATTTGAATGAAAAGTGCTAACTTTCAGATGCACCAAGCAATTAGGGTCATAACTACAATATAATCACAAAATTCTTTCATTGTTTTGGCAGGTTTTACTTCATCTTGTCATATGACGGAATTGTATTACCGACAAAGCACAAGTTAACTTACCTACCACTCAACTACATTCATATAAGCTAAAAAAGTAAATATTTGTGCTTAGTAACATAATTTAAACATATATTTTGCGTAAGCGAAGAATTTGAGCTATTTTACTTGCCATAAAATCACTATATTTTATGAATATTGGTTAATTATGCTTAATGCTTTATAAAAGAATTTCACGACTACGATCATAAATTAACTGGTTCTCACTATGTACAGGCAGTGTTCAATAGCACCATAGGATTAACATTTTGCAGTTAATTGAAATGGAGAGGTCATATGACATGGGAAAACTAACTTTGCTATAATTTTTCAAACTTTTGTATTAAACAAATAATATTTTCAAGAATTATTTTTCAATTATGATTAATTGAAAAATAAAGCTTTCGTAATGTCAAAAAATGTTATCATTCAGTTTTTTTTTGTTATT